GCCCACCACTCCAGCATAATATTTAACCACTAATGTATATATTTAACTTAAGAAGCAATGTTTACACAAAAATGACCTGCTCGTAAGAAATATACTCAAAAGTGTAAGATAGCGGGCAAACAGTGTTTAATAACAGTTAGTATAATTAATAAAAATGCGGTTGAAAAGTGTTACCACGCAATCCACAAAAATAAATGACACATTAGGATGAGCGGTGCAATTGCAGATTACTACTGGTCTAGACGTTCAACCCATAATCATCGAGTGAAAATGTTCAAGTACCGATATTATTAGTTCCAGCATAAAATGTATTCAGCTTTATGCACGATTAATGGCCATTAATTAAGTTCTATGGTACACAATCATATTTTATCCGATTAACAATCCAACAGCCAGCTAGCATTTAGATAGATTCTTAACAACGAAAAATTCATAACTTACTTTAACATCAGTAGATGATATAGGCGTTAGAAGCCTACGGAGTTCATCAATTTTCCCATTTATACTGGCACGATAACGTTTCTCAATAGCATTATGAGGTGCTCGTTTAATGGTTTCATGTTTTTGTTCACATTGCTCTACATTTACCTTGTTGTCTTAAAATAAACATGTAAAGAATACCGACTGGTCAGTAAATACAGAAGCCAGAAAAGATTTTGAATACAATGTAGTGAGAAAACAAGTTACATGATTAAAAGTTATCAACCGCAGCCAATACAGATAATTGAAGTTCGACGTATGTACCATTAGGTCCCGGCTCAGTGTTCTAGCGGTTAAGTGCTTAAGCGTGAGGCCGGAGATCATTGGGTTCGATCCCCAGTGGGGTTGTGGATGAACACTGATAAGGATCCCCATACTAAGATGACACAGACATCTAGTGAGTCTTGGTTTTCAACGATCGTTTAGCTAATATCAGTTTGATTTAAATTACGAAAATTCCACAAACTTCATGACCCCATTATGTTAAAACATCATTAACGAGAAATGTTTTAAAGGCCAAAACATGTGCTTCGTCTCGGATCGGTCTAATGGGGAATCAAAAAACAAGAGTAGTATTACTAGGGGTTAATTTACGTACAGTGGAAGCCAGAGCAGCTTAAGTCAACCTGGATCATTTCTAGAGTTATCGTGATGTTTGTCTGGTTGTAAAAGCCTGGTGATACAACACATCGGTAATAGTTCAGCTCGATACTATCGAAACTAAACTTCTTCGAGTTGAGGATACTTGAAGACTTTTTGTCAGTCAGTCAGCTACAACGTAGGACCAGGCACATATGTGCATCGGTCCAGGTTGCCATACCGCATCAGCACAACAAGATGGACACCGGATTCATAAAAATAGTTAATTCAGAGGTGGTAATATATAAGAGAAAGATTGCATATAGAGATATAGTACAAGAAGAAAAAATTGGTTCGCAGAAAGAAAGGTATGAAGCAATTTTAATCTCTTAGTTTAAGGGAAGATAGAGAGTGTATACACCGACGCCATTGTGATCGATTCTGAGCCATGTCACCAAGAGTCTCCAACCATTGGTTACGATAATCACGCGGACCACAACCAAGTAGTTTTCATCTACCAACATGGCTCAGACTAGAAGTTAGTGACTTCAAGCACTGATGCCACGTTTTCGTTTGGCCGCCTCTAACTTTCTTCCAACCATCTCCAATACCGGATAGCATTGCACGTCGTGGTAATCGGTATTCAGGCATACGTAACACGTGGCCCAACCATCTCAGCCGATGAAGATTCATAACCTCATCAACAGATTTACCATCATTCCCTAATACCCTGCGTCTAACCTCACTATTACTTACCCGGTGATCCCAGCAGACGCCAGCAATATTTCTAAGGCATCTGTGGTCAAATACTAATAGCTTACGAGTGTCTTCTACTCTTAATGGCCATGTTTCGCTGCCGTAAATTAAAACAGAACGGACTGCCGAGCAATATACTCGTTCTTTTATTGATAGACGGATATCTCGCCTTCACCACAGGTGACGTAAGTTGGCAAAAGCCAATCGAGCCTTTCGAATCCGTGCTGAGATTTCATCAGACACCAACCCATTAGGGCTGACCAGACTTCCAAGATAAGTGAAGTTGTCAACGCGTTCGACTACTTCACTCCCTATCCTTAGTTCAAGTGTTAACGCAGACCAGTCCTGAAGCAACAACTTGCATTTAGAAGGAGAGAAGCGCATTCCAAACATCCTGGCATTGTTGCTCAGTGCTACCAGAAGACTCTGCATTTTGTCAGCGTCTTCACCAAACAGGACTATGTCATCTGCGTATTCTAAGTCGATAAGTGGACCTCCTGGATGGAGATCAATACCCGAGAACTCAGTCGACGAGAAAGTTATTTCCATCAGTAGATCTATGATGAAGTTAAACAAAAATGGGGAAAGTGGACAGCCTTGACGGACACCACTTGAGGTTGCAAAAGCAGAAGACAGTTCGCCATAAGCTCTGACTCGACTAGTAGTGTTCGAGTAAAGAGCCTTTACAAGGTTTATGTACTTCTGGGGTACGCCTTTCAATGACAGACACTGCCACAGAATCTCGCGGTCTACCGAGTCAAATGCTGCTTTTAAGTCGAGAAAGACCACCATTGTCGGACGCCGATAAGTATGCCTGTGTTCTAGAATCTGACGAATGGTGAATATGTGGTCGATGCAGCCACGACCAGGTCTGAAGCCAGCTTGATTCTCTCGTGTTTGCAGTTCACGAGTCTTAGTTAGGCGTCTGATAATTATCGAGGCTAGTATTTTAGATACTATATTAGTTAAACTAATCCCTCTATAATTTTCACAGGATGATTTCGACCCTCTCTTATATGTTGGGACGATAAGTGATTGTGACCAGTCAGATGGAATAACGTCTAATTCCCAGATCTTAGCTAAAATATTAGTCAACCTAATCACTAAAATTGGACCACCATCCTTAAAGACCTCTGGAGCCAGTCCATCTGGACCAGCTGCCCTTCCTCGTTTCAGATTAACTATAGCCTTTTGAACTTCTGCTAGAGTTGGGGGACCTACTTCATTGTTCCATTCACATTGTTTGGGACTGGAGGGTAGTTGTAGAGTAGCTGAAGGCCAGTTGAACTGTTCTCTGAAATACTATTTCTAGGATCGACATTCTCGAACCTTCATTTCTTTATGAGAAGGCAGCGTTGCTGCAGAAGCTGGTTGCCCGAGGAAAACGCCTTACTATCGTCACATTATACAGCGGGCACCACGACTTCGCCCTCAAACCACAAGTTCGTATAGTCGAAATTTCATCGAACATATCTCAAAAACAACGTTACATGGACATTATGGTGAAAACATTGTAAAGCACAGCACACTTTTAAGATGGAAAATATTAAGAAACAGGGTCTGGAAAGAAAGTATTCATATATAACGTTTATCCACTGCTTTGTGGGTCAGACCTTTAGGTCGAAGGCTCCGGGTGTGACCCTCTAAGAAAACCACCTGCTTCGGTCTGAGCACTCGGGCAGTACCACAGCTCCTCTCCAAGTTGAGGATGTTAGACGACTCTCTGTGTGTTGACCATCGTTGTCTCCGAAGGGTTGCTGACATCCAGTGGCAACACCATATCAGTAATGCAGAGGGTCGACATCGTGTGTTCGAGCACAGAGACGATAATCCAATTCGTGTCGCCATCTTGAAACATCAACTTCGGTGGCTTGAACATGTTCTACGAATGTTGTCTCAGAGAATTCCACGGCGTGCATTAATTGCCGACGCTGGGACTGGTTGGGAAAAGCGAAGAGGTAGTCAGTGTATGACCTGGTATCGTGGTATAAAAGAAAACTGCAAAGGGCTGGCTTGTGTTTGTCCTTCACTACTCTCTGGCTGGTGTCCGAGTGATGATGCGACACAGTGGCTAGAGACGTTATCTGATATGGCTCAGAATAGAAGCCAGTGGCGATCCTACTGTAACCTTCTTTTACTTCATAAAAAAATGGTTGTATCTTCATTAACTGAAAGATTTCTTCTGATTGTACCTTTCCGGTTCCCCATTATTACTATTATTAATATTATTACACTATCTTACACTAATCTGTTCGTTATTGTTCTTTTTTTCTTCGAATTCTCATTGGCGCATATATATTTGGTGCCCCCTTGTACCAATATTTATGTGTCCAAATAAATAAATAAATCACACACAAATCAAGTGACTTCTATAGCGCATATGTATTCGGTGCCCCTATATACCAATATTTATGTGTTCAAATAAATAAATAATAAACAAAACAGAACCTGGTACATACGTGGGTCGGCTCAAGCTACCGCACCACATCAGGACAGAACAAAATTGTCAAAATGAATAATAATCTAAAGACACTTACCTTCTTCATTCTTGTTGATCACAAAGTGTGTCTTCTCAGCACCTGAGCTGCTCGAAGAGTATTGAATGGGACACGACTTACTTGAGTCTACCCCGTTTTTATTAAGAGTTTGGATTTCAGAATCGCATAATAGCCTGGATATTAGTGGTACTTCATATGTACGCTGAGTGGGTGCACAAACATGACCATCTACCTTTACTTGAGGGAATGTAGAACGATGGACAGATGGAATTTCCCAAGAGAAATTCTGTTTGTTATGTTCATTTTCCCATAGTTGCAGCCCTAAAAGAATCATGTCATGAAGTTAATTGGTTTAACCTGTATTTGTTGTAGAAACGTCTGAAGTTGGTTCAGACTTCAGAAGTGATTCTAAAGTCGTCTTCTCAGACCGGCTAGAGACAGCTTCATCATCCATATTTTTCACATCAGGGCTATCGAAAAATGTAGACACATCGAAAGAGAAATCGTTTACATCGATTCCATCTAAAAAACTTTCGGAAATGTCATTAAACAACGGATCGTTAAAGATCTGCGACAAAGTCACTGAATGCAAACAGATTATTATCTATTTGTATGTAGTTACCTGGCTCCATGGTTGACACCGAAGAACAGTTCCCATCCAAATTGCCACGCACTTAATCTACCCAGTTATAGGTCTGACGACCACAGAAACTGAAGAACTGGTGCTTGGGAAATATTAATGGATAAGCTAGGGTGCTGAAAAAGTATTGATAGCACAAGTTTAGTTGATATGTATTTAAGTGGGGAGAACATGCAAGAAAACAGATATGATCAATAATCAGGGAATCACTTGCACAGCAGTTAGTAAATTTGCAGATGATAGGTAAAGGTTCAGGTTTACAGGTGATCATGTAGGTTGTAAAAATTCAATCATGTTCAGTCTTGATTCCCATAAACGAGTCAACCCGTATGTGAAGGCTGAATTGTTTGGTGATGTTTTTAGACCTATCAGCTACCGCTAACATGTTCATCTGCACAGCATTAATGGGAAAACAGTTTAGAAATATCATTCGGACCAACCACTTTTCACTTGACGGGACATATTTACAGGTAGCAGTTGACGGCGAGACTATGATTTAAGGACGAACCAAATAGATTTAAGATAATAGGTTTTGGAATTCGACACGAAATTCACTTATTCATCTGCCTAAATAGCGTTTTGGCTGACCATAGCAAGTAGGTGAACATTTCTAAGGTCACTTCAGCGTCGCTCAAAGGTCGTCCATGAATTAGTTTTACCAAGTAAACTTATCTTGGAAGTCTCATCAGCCCTTGTGGTTTAGTGTGTGACGAAATCTCAGCACGGATACAGAAGGCTCGACTAGCTTTTGCCAACTTGCGTCATTTATGGCGTAGGCGAGATATCCGTCTATCAACCAAGGGACGGGTTTACTGCGCAGCAGTTCGTTCCGTCCTACTTTATGGCAGTGAAACATGGCCGGTAAGAGTAGAGGATATCCGTAGGCTACTAGTATTTGATCATAGGTGTCTTCGAAACATTGCTCGTATATCATGGGACCATCGAGTAAGTAACACAGTTGTTAGGAAACGGGTACTAGGTAAGGATGGCAAATCAATTGATGAAGTAGTGAAACTTCATCAGTTGAGATGGCTGGGACACGTGTTACGTATGCCCAACGACCGACTGCCTCGACGTGCTATGTTCAGTGGTATAGGAGTAGGTTGGAAGAAAGCTAGGGGCGGCCAAACCAAAACATGGCACAAGTCCATGAAGTCACTGATAAGTAGACTGAGTCATGTTGGTAGGTGTAGACTACCTGGTTGGGGACCGCGAGATGACAGCAACCGATGGTTAGAGACCCTGAATGACATGGCTCAAAATCGTTTGCAATGGCGCAGGTGAATCCACTCTCTGTGTTCTCCCAAATTCTAATCTTCTAAATTCTTCATGTCCCTTTTTTCCTCTTTCCAAATTTATTTCACTGGATTATACTCTTTAAATAACATCTCCAAACCCTAATCTTCCCGATTACTGCTTATACTCTTATTACCTCTACCACTACGGGATTTGAATCGACAAGTGCATCTCTGTGCTAATGTAGTGTGGCAACTCGAACTAATGTACGTACGTACGAAGTTCTACGTTGTTACTGACTGACTGACTGACTGAGATTTATTTAATATCGGTTCTCTACAAATTACTAGATAAAACTAATGTTCTAAGGCAAGAAAACTATAAGCTTATCGACTTCACATCTGAGATGTCTTAGACAAGGTATGACAGCTACACATAAATGGTTTTCTGGCCCCCGAGATCTTTAGGTCATGTTTAATCTAATTTCATGAGGGCTGCGAGCAGCCAAATGCTGAGCTTTTCTATGGGGTGATGGACGGTAGTTTGGCCAACATTATGAGGCAAACTTGAAGCTTTCACAGTCGCTCAATCATAGTTAACGTAGAGCCCGACACAAATATGAGTTAACCCAAGCCCCCATATCACATTGGGATAACTAAGTGAAAATAACAAAGTGAATAGCGAAGAATTCAAAATAAGTGAAGCAGTAATGATAGTACGAAAGTCCTTATACTGTCACAACTGCGCAACCCTTAAATTCGACTAAATTATTACACTTTGGCCAACAATCTTGGTGACTAAACTTGACACCAGTGACCGTCATCTCTCACTGTACAATATATACCAAATGCCCTGGTATGGCCGAGAGTTGGGTGGGCCCGCCCTCTCTCGAAATGCTCTCACACGGCCACGCGTATACAGCCTCCGCCAGGGAAGTCCTACTCACTGCCTTCTCGTGCGGGGTTGTTTACGAAACTGAAAGGACGAAAAGCGAATGTCTGGTGCTTTAACCGGATTTCAAACCAATGGTTCACATGAACTCCAGTGTCCCGTGGGAACAAATGGCGTATGAACCGATTCCTTGGTCACCGGCTTCCATGGGACTGCATCTCCTCACGATGCTCCACTGCCTTGTGGATCAGACCTTAGGGTCAAAGGCTCGGTGTGTGGCCTCCTAAGAAAACCACCTGCCTCGGTCTGGGCACCCGGACAGTACCACAGCCCTCACAAAAATCGAATGATCTATGTGGCGCATATCTACTTGGTGCCTCCTTGTACCAATGTTCATGTGTTCAAATAAAAATAATAATAAGTAGACCTAGCCAGGTGAATAACGGATCTGTCTTGTCATATGATGTAGAATGAGGCTGAGTAAGTTGGACCATTATCATTGGTGTTATTATTGTTGGACTCTTCTCCCCAATATAGCTGACATGGAAGCATATATTTATTTGAGATTTATCAACCCTCAACTGGAGGCAAGACTTTGACTTCATATCCCTGACAGTACACAGTGAATATCTTAACGTTAGAAAGACGGGGCCACTGTCTTGCAACTTTATTATTAATTGAAAAAGAAATGTTGTTTCGACTCAACATATGCCTGTAGGACAATGTAACAGTGAATTAATGAATGTATGATGAGGCATCCGAAGTCAAAACTAAGCAATGTTCTATGATATCAAGCCAGCCCTGGGTGTTATGGTTTGGTCGCTTATCACGCAATATGAAATAACCTAACTTGTCAGTGATTCTATGATTTTGAACTTTTCTAAGTGTCTATATATAAGTTTGGCCACTACGCATTATCTTAAATTGTTGACCCAGGTGACGCAAAAGGCTCATAAGATGTGGATCGAAAGGGAACGACAAATTACTAAAAAAAATACCACGGTAATAATCGTTGTTTGAAAGTCTGACAATGATTAGACGATGCATAGACATACCCTCAGTTGTTTGGTTAATCGAGTGACTTTCAAAACTCCCGCGGATATCCAGTTTCCAATATCAGTTTTACTTGTGATGAGCGGAAAATTAGAACAGTGTTTCTGTAACGGTAATAAAAATCATTACATATGACGTTACTAATGTGAGTTTGTTTTCTTTATTGCAGGGTAACAAAGATTGATCGTTCTAGAAGAAGAGGAACAAGCTTTACGCAGGCTGAACCTGCAGAACAATGAATAAACCCATTCTGTAATAAGCTTCCCTTTTTGTACTGGAACCGCGTCTTTCGATTTTTAAATATATTTCTGTTGTGCCAGTACGCCGCGTTCACGCCAGTTCTAACTGTTGTGTTGTTGTTTCAAATCGTTCCTGCTACCGAAGAAACAATAATACAACGTGCTACATTTCTATTTTCGGTAGCGAATGTATTGCAGGTGACCCTACAATTTTCTGATTATTTCTGCAGGATTTGGTAAGGATACATGGTATTGAGGCGAAGTACAGTTTTCAATCTGCTTAAACTCTATTCATTAGGAATGCCATCCAATTTGCCATTATCGACAGTGTATCCCATGAAAGTGGGACGTGTAAATTAGTAAGTTGCCGCTTGAAATGCATGGGACAAGATCTACTGCTTGGTTTGGTCTGTCGCAGTCGAAGCTGTGGGGTGAATGAGGTCCTGCTAAGCAGTCTCAATACTTGGCCGCAAAGTGGTCAATGTCTAATCCTATGGGACTTTAATGCACCAACGGTAGACTGGATTGTCAGATAATTCCTTCGAGAAGGAACTATTTGATGTGGTTTTCATATGTGCCCCAGTGCAACATGTGAAAGAAGCGACTAAGTACGACCCGGACTCCGAATCACCCTTACTAGATCTTATGTTGACTCACTATGAGGATGACGTTGGGAACCTCGACTATATGCTACCCCTCGGCAAAAGGGGTCATGTAGTTCCAACCTTCGACTTGCATATAATTGTCGAACATGCGCATGCGTCAGCTCAATCCAGACCTAACGTCTGGAAAGCAAACATACAAGATACCATGCATCGTCAGTAGATTGGGAAATAGACTCAGAGCCCTCAATTGAAATGGCATGGGACGTATTTCGAAATTTATACCTAAAAGTTACCGCACTCCATATTCCTTGGACTACACCAAAGGGGCCGGGAAACCCTCTATCATGGTTCAGTAGGGGGGTTCGCATCCTCCGTAAGAGAAGAAACATTTGGGATAGATTTAGGCTTATAGGGACTGATGAGACGAAATCTCGGAATACCTGTACCTCGACTCTCCGTAAGTCTAGAAAGTTGTACGAAGAAAAATCGTTAAGGAATCCATAGAATTTCCTAAACGCTTATATTCCTATATAAACTAAAGGACAAAAACAAGTGGAAATATTCCCACACTACGGAGAAACAGTACTGCCGCATCATTGGTGGAGGACGACTTTGGAAAGGCTAAAGTATTGTCAAACTGCTTTGCAAATGTATATGCCATAGAAACATCCCTCCCGTCGGTCCACACAAATCCCCCTACACAAACACTGGACAGCGTGACCATCAAAGAACTCAATGTCTTTGGTCTGCTAAATAAGCTTGACATGGGCAAATCCACGGGGCCCGATGAATTGCATCCTAGGCTACTAAAGGAATTAGCTAAATTCGGTGCGAACTCTTTAGGTATATGCTTTAACCTATCCGTAACGCAGGGTCGTTTACCAAAAGACTGGAAAAACGCCATAGTAAGTCCTGTCTTCAAAACAGGTACGAAACACAAACCTGAGAATTACTGACCCGTTAGCCTAACTAGTGTGGTTGTTAAAATCTTAGAAAAGATTATTCGAAATGAGCTGTTTAAGTATCTCGATGAAAACCGGATCCTTTCGGAGAAGCAGCACGGTTTCAGAATAGGTTACTCTTGTCTCACTAACTTGTTAGTGGCTCATGAAAGCTGGCGCGCTCTTGAGGACCAAAAGTTACCTGTAGACGTAGCCTTCCTTGATTTCAGCAAAGCTTTTGACAAAGTTCCACACAACTGGCTGTTATATAAGTTAAGAAATGTCGGGGTTGAATGTAATCTATTGATTTAGATAAAAGACTTCTTAGTTGGGCGTCAACAAAGAGTAAGGATGAACTCTAAATTATCTAGCTGGGAAACTGTGCTTAGTGGAGTGCCTCAGGGTACAGTTTTGGGGCCAGTGCTATTCCTCTTGTATGTAAATGACCTTCCTCGTCTCCTATCATCATCGGTCTTGCTATATGCTGACGATGTCAAGATATGGAGAACGATACGATGTAAGTGTGATAGCTTAGAACTCCAAAATGACCTGAAGAAATTATCTGAATGGTTTCAAACATGGCAGTTGCCGATAAATACTGCCAAGTGTGTCGTGATGCATATCGGTCATCAAGGTACAGATACATACACGATGAATAACACTGAGCTACCTATCGTCCAGACATATAATGACTTAGGAGTCATCGTTAGCCAAGACCTAAAGACTACTGCACAATGCCGTGTAATAGCCGCCAAAGGTTTTAGAACTTTATGGTCAATACGTAAGGTCTTTGGTCATGTCGACGCCAAAGTCCTTTCGACTTTGTATACAGTGTTTATACGTCCTAAATTTCAATACTGCGTACAAGCGGCTGGTCTCTGCTTTAGAAAAGACAGTGAACTTTTGGAAAAGGTTCAGAGAACAGCAGCCAAGCTGATTCCCGGAATAGCGAGGCTCCCGCATGATGCTCGACTGGCCAAGCTAACCCTTTTCACGTTGTCATATCATAGAATTAGAGGCGTCTTGATTACACTTTTCAAATTGCTTGGTAATAAATTTGCACCTGATATGCCCTCATTTTTCTTGTCTTCCAAAACAGAGAATTTACGGAGACACTCCAAAATAGTTCACAAGCCCAGAACAAATTACTTGTCAGCTGACTATCGACTTTCCCATCAAATCACCAACGAGTGGAATTCATTACCTCAGCAAGTGGTTGAGGCTCCATCTATCGACTCTTTCAAAAGAAAGTTGGATCAACTGAGAGACCACCTTTGGATGGAACAACACAGGCCATCAAGCCTCCTGTCCTTTGCAAACTTAAACTGAAACTTTCGAACACCACTAAATGCTCCTAATGGTTGTGTACAGCATAAAAGAAGCTTTTGACTTACAGGCTTCCTTATCTGGTAGTAGTGGATCATCGGTAACTTCAACTATGAACCTAGGTATGCTTGATAAGCAAAACAAGTCATAATAAATCATAATGAAATACTGCTCCGAATCTCTAAGATTGTATCAGGTTTCCTCTTGAAAGACTCTTGTATATCGCTTGGACGACCTTAGCCGGCAGCAAACTTTAGGATTCGATAACTTGCAAAGAGTGTAAGGTATGCCTACACTGCAGTTTGCTGTGCTGTATGTTCGGTTTTCAGAAGTTAGTATAGGAGGTCACTCGACCTATATTGATCCTGGAAATGTATAGTACTATGAAGATCCAATCTCGTTTTGAGCGTATCAACAGAAAGTACTAATATCACATTTTCGAGTAGAGAATTTGAGTAATTTACTACTCAGAGTGTGAAACAGAACTCCACACGTAAACGATTTGGTTTTGGTGTTTGAACTTTTTTAAAATATCCGTTCTAGATGGAAGGAAAAGTAGAATATTTCATTCCCATTTGCTTTTAATTTTAATCCTCGAATAGTGTGACCTGTCCGAATGCTTATGAATTCTAGTCTGTAACGGAGAATTGTTGGCTCGAAAGTACTCAATGGTTGAAGCCGACGTTCGGAGAGAAGGAAAAGCACAAAAACTCTGTTCTTCGTAGACAGTGGTGCTTTTTGTTGGGATAAAATATTCATAAGTTTGAGGGGCTGTTTTGTGAACCTCAACTCTTCAGCATAATAGACAAAATTATCAGGGTTAGTGTTTTCTGGGATAATTTGCATAACAATGTTTCTTCTTCAAGGGAAAGTCTCGTGAGAGTCTTTGGGGATGTTCTCGATAAAATCGGAATAATATAAGCATTAGTTACTAATGTAAGGAACAAATGAAAGTTAAAGCACTGAGTACTGAGTATTTGCTGCGTCATGTCAGAGATTTAGTAAAGTTCAGCTTATTATCACATCAAATAAGTAGAGAGGATTATGAGTGCTAGGTTGCACGATGACGACATTCCTTGCGTAACTACCGAAGTAAAAATATTCGGCTGAATGCAGAACTAATGAACCAAAATTTATTCGACTAGGCCAGAGTATGTTCTTCTGAATAAGGTACTGTACATTTCTGAGTGACTCGTATTAAGTTATATCAAAACACAAACTCCGTGTTCGATTCAAACGGTCCCATTTTAAGGAAGAAAACATTATGCAAAAAGTTCAAAATACAACAAACGGTACAACCTATTCTTTACAGTCGACGGTTTCTCTGGTACAAACTTACATGCTAAAGAACAAAAGTAATAGTCAATAAACAAGTGCTTTATACCTGGAAATCAATAAAATATTCCCACCAGGACGGGACCAGGTGTCTTTTTTCAAGGATTCCAGTAATTTTTCCAAGCAGACTGTCAAAGGTTGACAAGCATGTACCGAAACACACCGTGACCTTGAGTTTATTCAAACACGGTGTTATTGCTAATGGTCTGGTAACGTGCAACAGTAAAATTAAGTAACTAATTAAGTAAACAAAGCCTAATAACTAAAGTCCAGACGGGTAAGACTGAAGAACATAAAATGCTGTTATGAGAGACTTGAATAAGTGTTGAAATACAAGACAAGGGAATAAACAAGTCAATCACAGTGCTGTCTGACAAAATGCTGTGAGTGGATTTCCAACATGTTATTTCCGTTAAAACTTTATCTTTCATTGTCGCGCGTGTCACGAGTTCATTGCTGCTAGGTGAGCAAAAAGGGTCTGTATTGTAGTCAAGGTAACGTTTTAGTTACTGTGAGAACATAGATATATTTCTTGAGGTAGTAGACAGGATGAAGGATTACTCAGTTAATTAGCCGAAATGTTTCAATACCGAGCGGTAAAGAATTATTCTAAATACATTGGGGAAACCTAGGAAGCTTGTATCCGCAAGGTGGTTAT